TTACTGAAGAATTTCTATTCCTTTCCATTCTCTTTTTTCCCCCTGAAACACTCCTAACAGTGAAGATCATTAGCACAGTGATGAGCTTCAATGCCAGCAATTTTTAACTTTTGATCTTATTCTATGGAACAGTTTTTATTATTTTTGTATGGCTTTTTACCTATTCTCACTCTCCTTGGCAATAATATTGAAACTGTTTCAAGGATTCTAGTTCAAAAGCCATTTGGGCTTCTATATGAGGCCTGAGGTACACTGTACCAAATGCTTCAATTTAGGCAGTGCAGGTGAAGAGAGATAAAAAGGAGCCAACATATTTCAGATTTTGGAGGTATTATCTTTTGGATATAATCAAATTAGAATAAATTATATTTAACAATTCTGTCTGAAAACAACATTGGTGCAGAAACATTTGAAAATGTAATTTAAATAATAAATGGGATGAAGCTTTGAAGCTGTTTTCAGAAGACTATAAATAATGAATAATTTCTTAGCCTGTCTCAACAAGGTACTTAAGCATCCCACAGTCATACAATTAGATGCCTCTTATTGAAGGCAATTGGTAAGGGTTACCGGGCAGAATTGCTCCTTCTTTTGATTAAAAACAGAATTATAAGCAGCTAGTCAAAATTTTTAACTCTAAATCAAATGATCAACTGCTGTGGATAATATCATAACTGCCGTTCTTAGAATCCCTACAGTGTGAAAGTAAGCGAGTTGGCCCATCAATTCCACACCATCCCTTCAAAGAGCATCCCACCCACAGTCATGCCCCCTACCCTATTCCTCTAACCCTGCATTTTCCACAGCTAATCCACCTAGCCTGTACATCTCTGGACCCTTTGGACAATTTAGCATGACCAATCCACCTACCTACACCTCTTTAGATAGTAGGAGGAAACCAGAGCACCTGGAGGAAACCCCCACAGACTCAAGGAGAATGTGCAAACTCCACATAGACAGTTGCCTGAGAGTGGAATTGAAGCTGAGTCCTTGGCACTGAGGCAGTAACAATAACCATTCAGTCATAATGCTGCCTGTTGTTCTATGTCATCATCTGTTCTAAAATAAAGCAACTTGATAATATGGTTAAGCAAATTTTACAGTGTTTTCTTAACTTTCCTTCAAAATGATTCAGTGTACATATGACAGAGACAGAGGTGAAATGCCCAAAACCCGAGTTCCTATAACAAGGAGTTATCATTACATTGCTGCAGTATGCAATGGTAAATTATTTATTGACTATTATGGATGCACTTTTAAATATAAGACACATAGATTGCTTTTAGAAGTTGCTCGTACAATTGTATTTGAGAAAGAATCAATGTAAAACCTTCAGAACTATTTTAAAATGACCAGAGGGATCTGGGTGTACAGGTGCACAGATCACTGAAACTGGCAACGTAGGTGGAAAGGTAGTCAACAAGGCATATGGCATGCTTGCCTTCATTGGCTGGGGCATTGAGTTTAAAAATTGGCAGGTAATGTTGCAGCTTTATAGAACCTTAGTTCAGCCGCATTTGGAATATTGTGTTCAATTCTGGTCGCCACACGACCGGAAGGATGTGGTGGCTTTGGAGAGGGTACAGAAAAGATTTACCAGGATGTTGCCTGGTATGGAGTGCATTAGCTATGACGAGAGGTTGGAGAAACTTGGGTTGTTCTCACTGAAATGATGGAGGTTGAGGGGGGACCTGATAGAGGTCTACAAGATTATGAAGGGCATGGACAGACTGGACAATCAGAAGTTTTTTCCCAGGGTGGAAAAGTCAGTTGTCAGGGGCCATGGGTTTAAGGTGCGAAGGGCAAGGTTTAAAGGTGATGTAAGAGGCAAGTTTTTTACACAGAAGGTGGTGGGTGCCTGGAACTCGCTGCCAGGGAAGGTAGTGGAAGCAGATACTATAGTGACTTTTAAAGGGCATCTTGACAAATACATGAATAGGATGGGAATAGAAGGATACAGACCCTGGAAGGATAGGGGGTTTTAGTTGTGACGGGTAGCATGTCGATGCAGGCTTTGATGGCCAAAAGGGCGTGTTCCTGTACTGTAATTTTCTTTGTTCTTTGTTCATCTTCTGAAATTAGCCTTTCACTTGATTGATGCAGAACTTCACTGAGTTTGAGTTTACACTTGCTTTCAATATTGCGATGCAGTATATAGTCTTGTTGGTCACCTGTGTTTTTCTCTGGGGTTTGGGTTCACCATTGGAGTAAAATTTCCTGTGCATAGAAAGTCAATGTAGTTTGGAACCACATGCTTTACGGATATGGATAAAAGCTGCGCAGCTTTAGCGTGGATGCAACAAACCACATCTGTTATAGTTTTTTCTTGGTTGGTGTGTTTTATTGACTGTTGCAACAGTGTTGCTCACCCTAAAGCATCTAATTAGCAGCCACTATAATTTTCATACATGCCTCCATCCTCAAATGGATCAATGATACAGCCTTTTTATATTTGATTTAACTTGCTCCAAAAGATCTCTATGTTGTACACCAGGCACAACTATCTCATGGCATACTTCATGGGCACCGGCCCCATGCATCCAAATCTCCACTGACATTGACATTCAACATGTGACTGCCATTATGAACCTTCATGGCACATCTCCAATTCATTTACAGGACTCTTCTACACTTCAATGATTCACCTTGGGCTACACTGGTAAGTATCAGTACCATTCTGTGGCAAAGACGTTGTGTGCTCAGGGACACAGATCAACCTCAAGGATTGGAACAGGTTGCATCTTACAGTTTTTCCCATAGTTTCATAATATTCACTTACTCTGAGCTTACCTGGATACTTGCAGCAGCCCTACCCTGCACTGCCTTGCCTTTATGCACTTTGCCCTCTCAGTTAGCGATACCTGGCACATATTACATCTATCTTCCCGTGGCATTTAGTGCAGACATAAAGGCAGGAAGTTTGCCACAGTTGTCAGCAGGCCTCAGTCCAGTCAAGCAGCACAGAAGATCCCAGCATAGTAAGTCAAATGCAGCCTCCAGTACTAGACCAGGCAATCTGAATCAGTTTCTCTGTTTATAAGGGATGAGGACCTGATTCTTTCCACCCTAATGTGGGCTGTTTTTTTAAGCTGGAATGAAAGACAAACCGGTATTACAGAAAATGAAAGTGGGTGGCCATAATTATTGCTGCTGGTGCAGTTTGAGTGGTTTCCCAAGTGAGTAATTAGGCAGTGCAGAGGTGGGCAGGGTTAGTGGCATTGAAGTTTGGGGAGCTGAGGGTGAGCAGGGAAGATGTTGCACATATTAGTGAAAGTCTTGGTGGGAAGCAGGTCCAGCAGCAGAGAGAGAGTGAGTGCAAAGTATTGGACTGAAATAGTGGCACTTATGCTGATGGAATAGAGAAGAACATTGAATTTCTTCCTACAATATTGGACATTCCTGGATAGCTGGGACTGCTTCAAGTGGCAACATTGGATGACGTGGGCATGATCTGATATTGTGACCGCCACTGCTGATCCTGATGATGGAGTAAGTCCCACCTGTATACCACCATGGCCAGCAGGAGTTCCAAAACCATGCCTGCAAAGCAGGGTGACACCTTCTCCTTGCCTGTCATGTCCAGGGCAAATGTCAGGAACTGTGCAGGCCAGCTCCATCCCTGGTGACAGGGATGTCATTCAATTACAGGGTTTACATTGAGAGGCAGGGTTTTTAGGAGTGGTGTGTGGTAAGATGGGATAGAAATTGGATGTATTCTCTCTGCAAGGGCCAAATGGCAATTAATGCAATGAGTTTGGCAAGCTAGCAATAAAACTCACTCAGCCTCATGATGAGAATCACTCCAATAAAATTAACATGACTTGCACTTTGCCAAAAATCTGTAAGTTTCCAACCTGAATCTTTCCATGATTCTCTCTCTCTCCTTTTGGTTTTCTTTTCTAGGATAAATAGATTTAAAGCTGCTCCCTATTGTGTGAACAGTTCGTTACTCTGTCAATTAAAAGTCTGCTTTTAATTTCTGCTTTAGGAACTTAATTTAGATTGTCAATGTTCAGCTAATAAATTTTGGTACTCCTTGAAAGTTTTCTTAATTTCCTTTTTTGCTTTTCTATTTTGTTTTAATTCAAACAGCTTGAGTTGTTACTAATTGCTATTAACATTTTCTTTTCAGTTTCATGCTTCAATGTTTTCTTGGTACTATTAGTTTGAGTTTCTGACCCATTGGACATATACAGTTGAAACCTCAATGCTCTCAACCAGATTGAAGAAAGTACAGGTGGGATTCTATTTACAGTACTAACTTTCTTGCATAATGACAGTTTCAACAGCCCCAGTGAGATTTTGAAGATGACAATATATTATCCATGGCCAAATATTTTCCTAATTAAAAAAACTCATACCATCAATAGTCAAATTATGAACAACAATAATTGCAGAGTTGTTAATTAAGTCATGTTCTAAATTAACTTCAAAACAAAGGAACAAGAAGATAATTTCCATCAACACCCTGCAGTAATGCATTTTTAGTTTGTCAGTTTTCTGGAGAGAAACTGTTATTTCCTAAAACATCAATGGCTGTGCTGACATTGCGTCTCACGACAACTGATGACAATTAACAATTTAAACAGAAAAATTCAAAATTTCTGCAGCATTATCAACTTCAGTAACAAATAAAGGATAACTAGTTGAGATTGTACTCACTCCAAAAATTTTCTGGAAGAAATGTGCAGCTTTACACTTATTACCATCTTGCTATTTAATTTCCAATATTCAGCCTTCATGTCATTTTTTTTATGAAGCAGATAACATAGCAGCCTCTTAAACTTCTTCACTGTTTCATTTATTATGCTAAGCAAGGCATTTTCTTCCCACAGGCCACTATGACTAGATCCCTTATTTCCAGTTTGTCTGAGGCTCCCCAAAGACATGTGCCTAGCATGCTTGCAAGTCAACTCATAGTTGTCTGCCATTACTGAAACCTTCCTTTATCTTTAAACATTTTTGGCCTTCCAGGAGGGATTTTATTCTAAAAAGGATACATTTTTAAATTCTTCCATTCCACTTGCCATCAATTTTCACTGATATGCTTATTGCCAGCAAGGCACACATTAGTGATTCTTTACTCCTTCAACTTTCAAGAGCCCACTTCTTCTAATTCTGTTTTTATGAACTTAAATCAAAATCTCAAAACAGCATCTCGTTTAGTATTAAATAAAAACAATTCCCTCTTCTCTTCTTCAGCAGTAACTTCTTTGATTTTTCTCTATTTGCTAGAAGCTGTCCTCTTTTGTCTGTGGGAGAAGCAAAAGGCATTAAAAGAAATATCCCACTTCAAAACTCTCAAGGTTATCTCCCCATGACAACGAGATCACATGGGTGTTTCTTTCAAGTGAAAATGGTTATCTGGAATAGACACGTTTCAAAAACAAAAATTGCTGGAAAAGCTGAGCAGGCCTGGCAGCATCTGAAGAAAAAACTCAGAGTTAACGTTTCGGGTCCGGAAACCCTTCTTCAGAACTGATGGTAGCTCGGAAAATGTCAGTTTATATGCAGCAAATAGAGAGGGGGGATGGGGTAGGGAGCAAATGATAGGATAAAGGATAGAGCCCAAATAGAGAGACAGCAGTTGGATAGACAAAGGAGTTGATAACGATCTGGCTAGGAAGGTGAATAGCTGTATATAGAATAGCTCTAGACTCTGTTATCACACAGCTTGCCATCACACACCACCTATTGTTAGTCACTAACAGTCCCCGTTAACAGCTATTCACCCTCCATGCATACTGATTTTTAAAATCAGAGATGAAACAAACACAAATGTGCGTGTACTTAAATGGGCTGAATGGTCTGCTTTTGTGCTGTAGTGAGTCCATAACTCTAACTTCAGATTTGGCTTCACAAGTAGAATGCAAAAAAAGAAAGAGAATTTTCTGCAATTATACAAACCTTGGTCAGACACATCAGAAGTATATTATATAGTTCTAGGTACTACATGTTAGAAGGGACATATTGGACTTGGAAGGAATGGGACACGCACCAATGTAATTGTTAAACAAAATGTTATCATAGAAACATAGAAATTAGAAGCAAGATTAGGCCACTGAACTTTTCTGGTTTGCTCCACCATTCAGTATGGTCATGGCAGATCATCCAACTCAGTACCCTGTTGCCATTTTCTCCAATGCTTTCTGATTCATTTAGACCAAAGAAGAAGGTCAAACTCCTGGAAAACATTCAATGTTTTGGCCTTGGCCATTTACTATGGCATGGAATTCTATGGGATCACCCTCTCTTAATGAAGACATTCTTCTGTCAAGGCAAAGCCCTAGATGACACAGAACAGTGAAAGAGATGCTTCTGCTTGGATCATTTTTATACTTCAGAACTTCAAATGAAAATGCCATAAAATATTCTGGTCTTATTCATGCTACATCATCCTTTTGTAAGCTGACCCAATGAAGCCTGATTATTGAAGCAAAAACCGAAAGAACTGCGGATGCTGTAAATCAGGAACAAAAACAGAAGTTGCTGGTAAAGCTAAGCAGGTCTGGCAGCATCTGTGAAGAAAACAAACCAGAGTTAACGTTTTGGTTCTGGTAACCCTTCCTCAGAACTGATGGTAGCTAGGAAAATGTCGTTTTATATGCAGGAAATAGGGAGGGGGATGGGGTAGGGAGTAAATGATAGGATAATGGATAGAGCCCAAAGCTAGAGCAGTTGGATAGACAAAATAGTTGATAACAATCTGGCTAGGAGGGTGAATAGCTGTTAATGGGAACTGTTAGTAATTAACATGAGGTCATGTGTAACGGCTGGCTATGAGATAAGAAGGCCTGGTGCAAGGGATAGGAGGCTAGGACATGGGAGAGTTTAGGCCCTAAAATTATTGAACTGCATATTGAACCCAAGAGGGCTGCAGGGACCCCAAATGGAAAATGAGGTGTTGCTCTTCCAGCTTGCGTTGAGCTTCACTGGAACACTGATTTGCTGCAGAGATCAGATGCTGGCCAGGGAACAGGGTGGTGTATTAACGTGGAAGGAAACAGGTAGCTTGATCTTTTTTTGCAAGCAGAATATAGATGTTTTGCTTCATTTCCCCAAAGTAAAGGAGACCACATTGTGAACAGTGAATGCAGTAGACTGGATTGTGGGAAGTGCAGGTGAAGTGTCGCTTCACTTAGAAGGTACATTTGGGCCCTTGGTTAGTGGGGAGGGAGGAGATAAACTGGCAGGTATTGCACCTTCGCCGGTTGCAGGGGAAGGTGCTGTGGTGGGTGTTGGGAGTGAAGGAAGAGTGGACCAGGGTGTCCTGGAGGGAATGGTCCCTGGAGAAGGCAGACAAGGGAGGGGAGTATGTGTCTGGTGGTGGCATTTCACTGGAGGTGGCGGAAATGGTGTCTGATGATCTTCTGGACGTGGATGCTGGTGGGATGGTAGGCAAGGACAAGGGGAACCCTCTCACTGTTGCTGGAGGGAAGAGAAGGGGTGAGAGAGGAAGTGTGGGAGATGGGTCAGACCCATCACTCTCCATTGCAAACTAGCCATCCAGATCTGATCCTCTCTGTTGGTTCACTCCAGCAATTTTTGAACAAGGTACAATTGCACCTCTTCAACAGAGAGGGCAGCAAACGGATGGTATGTTGCCTCTTGGGTGCCAGGGTCCGTGACATCTCAGATCGTGTCTTCAGGATCCTTAAGGGGGAGGGTGAGCAACCAGCAGTCATGGTACACATTGGTACCAATGACATAGGTAGAAAAAGGTCTGAGAATGTGAAAAACGAGTACAGGGAGTTAGGTTGGAAGCTGAAGTCCAGGACAAACAGGGTAGTTATCTCTGGGTTACTACCAGTGCCATATGATAACGAGGTAAGAAATAGGGAGAGAGTGCAGCTAAACACGTGGCTACAGGGCTGGTGTAGGAGGGAGGACTTCCATTATGTGGATAATTGGAGCACATTCTGCCAAAGGTGGGACCTGTACAGTAAGGATGGGTTGCATCTGAACCGGAAGGGCACAAATATCCTGGGAGGGAGGTATGCTCGAGCTATACGGGATGGTTTAAATTAGATTGGCAATGGGTGGGGGAACCGGATTTGTACTTCAGAGGCTGAGGTATTCAGCCTTCCAACAGACACAACAGGGAGTGAGGTTGTTAATAAAGAAATGCAGTCAATGGAGCGTAATTGTGGACACGGAGGTGGTTTGAGGTGTGTATATTTCAATGCTAGAAGTATCAGAAATAAGGCAGATGAACTTAGAGCATGGGTCAGTACTTGGAACTACGATGTTGTGGCCATTACAGAAACTTGGGTAACACAGGGACAAGAATGGTTGTTGGAAGTTCCAGGATTTAGATGCTTTAAAAGAAATAGGGAGGGTGGAAAAAGAGGCAGGGGAGTGGCATTGCTAGTCAGGGCTAGTATAGCAGCTACTGAAAGGCAGTTCGAGAATGATATGTCTACAGAGTAAGTTTGGGTTGAAGTCAGGAACAAGAAAGGAGCAGTCACTTTGATGGGGATTTTTTACAGACCCCCTAATAGTTGCAGAGAAATGGAGGAGCGGATTGGGAGGCAGATACTGGAAAGGTGCAGAAGTCACAGGGTTGTAGTCATGGGTGACTTCAACTTTCCAAATATTGATTGGAAGCTTTTTAGTTGTAATAGTTTAGATGGAGCGGATTTTGTCCAGTGTGTTCAGGAAGATTTCCTGACACAGTATGTAGATAGACCAACACGAGGAGAGGCCACTTTGGATTTGCTGCTTGGCAATGAACCAGGTCAAGTGTTAGACCTGTTAGTAGGAGAGCATTTTGGCGATAGCGATCATAACTCTGTTACTTTTACAATAGACATGGAAAAAGATAGGTACATACAGCAAGGTAAGGTTTATAATTCGGGGAAGGGCAATTACAATTCTGTTAGGCAAGAAATGGGTAACATAAAATGGGAACAGATGCTGTCAGGGAAGAGCGCTATTGAAATGTGGAGATTGTTTAAGGAATGCATACTGCGTGTGCTCGATATGTTTGTCCCTAGCAGGCAGGAAAGATGCGGTCAAGTGAGGGAGACTTGGTTCTCAAGAGACGTCGAACGACTGGTTAAGAGGAAGAAGGATGCTTATATAAGGTTTAGGAAACAAGGAACAGAAAAGGCTCCAGAGGGATACAAGTTATCCAGGAAGGAGCTGAAGAAAGGGCTTAGGAGAGCTATAAGGGGGCATGAGAAAACCTTGGCAGATAGGATCAAGGAAAACTCCAAGGCTTTTTACATGCACGTGAAAAATAAGAGAATGACCAGAGAAAGGGTAGGGCCGATCAAGGATTGTAAAGGGAATTCGTGCACGGAGCCTAAACAGATAGGAGAGGTCCTTAATGAATACTTTTCTTTGGTATTCACAACTGAGAGGGATCTAATGTAGAAGAGGACAGTGTGAAATAGGCTGGTAGGCTAGAGGAGGTCGATGTTAGTAAGGAAGATGTACTAGGAATTTTGAGGAACTTGAGGATAGATCAGGCCCCTGGGCCTGATGGGATTTATCCAAGGATTCTATGGGAAGTGCGGGAAGAGATCGCAGGGCCTTTGGCAATGATCTTTTCATCCTCATTGTCCACGGTTATAGTGCCGGAAGATTGGAAAGAGGCAAATGTCATTCCCTTGTTCAAAAAAGGGAATAGGGATAACCCCGGAAATTACAGGCCAGTTAGTTTTACATCAGTGGTGGGCAAATTATTGGAAATGGCTCTGAGAGATAGGATTTATGATCACTTGGAAAGGCACAGTTTGATTCGTGATAGTCAGCATCGATTTGTGAGGAATGGATCATGCCTCACAAACCTTATTGAATTCTTTGAAGAGGTGACCAAACACGTGGATGAAGGTAGAGCAGTGGATGTGGTATACATGGATTTAAGTAAGGCGTTTGATAAGGTTCCCCATGGTAGGCTCATGCAGAAGATAAGGAGGCATGGGATAGGGGGAAATGTGGCAGATTGGATTCAGAATTGGCTGGCCCTTAGAAAACAAAGGGTGGTAGTGGACGGAAAATATTCAACGTGGTGCTCAGTTACGAGTGGTGTACCACAAGGATCTGTTCTGGGTCCTCTTCTATTTGTGATTTTTGTAAATGATTTGGATGAAGGAGTGGAAGGGTGGATTAGTAAGTTCGCGGACGATACGAAGGTGGGTCGAGTAGTGAATAGTGCGGTGGGCTGTTCTAGGTTACAAAGGGACATTGATAGGATGCAGAGCTGGGCTGAGAAGTGGCAGATGGAGTTTAACCCTGAAGAGTGGGA